CTGGAATATGCAACGTGTGTTTACACGTTTACAGCCTTTGACTTGAAGGAGCTGCATAAAAGCCACATGTTTTCAGTGTTGGAGTAAGTTCACTTGCCGAATACTTCAGTTAGAATTAAACAGCACCTGCGTTCCTCCCTATATATAACATATGTTTATAGGCTATGTTATGATGCCTACCATACAGCTGGTTTCAGGTAAGCAGAACAATTTGCTCTTTGTGACATGGACTATTGGAGTTAACGCAACGAATGGGCTGCCAGTGAGCTGCTGCTGAGATGTGTTCAGCTCCCAGGAGAGCTGCCGTCCGTAGCCCTAGGGATGATGGCACTGCCATTGCATTTTAAACATCAGTGTTTGACTACAGACTGGAGGAAGAATTCAGTATTGATAACGTTGAGGGTGAGAGGGAGGAACAGCACCCAGGAAGCAATACTGCTGTTGGGTTTACTCAGCCTTCAAGCAGCTACCAAAACTGTGGCCGCTGGATGGTTGTTGGATGATCTGCGTGAGACGAGTTTGGTGTTTGAATGCAGTTTCCAGTGGGAATTTTGTATTTCTCAAAACATGCAGCTCATTAGCACCTGCTGGGCTGCCTGTTTGGCAGCTGGGAAGAGGCCAATGATTAAATGCTTTCCAAAGATGAATTTGCTCTTTATCCATACTGGTTAGGGGAGGAGAGTGACAGGGAAGAAGTGGATGGTTTTGCCCGTGCTGTTCAGCTCCCGCCTGCCTCAGTATGTCCAAAGGATTCCATGCAGAGTGCGAGGCACCCCTGGTACAGTGCTGCCAGCTCTCCTGGCCTGAGGTAAAAATTACGTAGAGCTGCTGGGTCTGTAGGAGCCGCCTCTGTGCCAGCAATGAATGGCAGGTGATAACTTCTGCTTGGTCTGAGCTGATCTTCCATGGAGGTCTCTGCACCGCGCTCTCCGTGCTTCATGTTTCCGGGCATATGGTACTGCGACATGTCTGCAGGGCTGATTTGCTGAGGTTCTGCACTGAACAAAAGTAGCTGAAACTTTTCCAGACTGGAAGTGGCCCTCAAAGAATGAGACCTGTTTGAATGGGGATCTGTCTGAGCTAATGAGTTCTGTTACACCTGAGCTGGCCGTGTGCCTGGGCCCTGGAAGCGAGAGGTGAGTGCACGCATACCTGTTGCTTGTAACAGGAAGGATTTTTTCCTTTGTCATATTGAGAACATGTACACTCAGGCCCCTCCTGGCCCCTCCTTGGTGCGTTGGTGTACAAGGCAGAGCACACCCACCACTGTGTCTGTTTTTCTCGCTTGCCAAGCAAGAGAGAAGTTGTGCCTGGGCTAGCATTGTGTCTGCATCTATGCCATGGTTCCTTCACAACCTGGGTAAACCATCTGCCAAAAAAAACAACAACAAAAAACCCCAAAACAAATTGTTTGCATAGCTGTTGCCCTAATAAAACAATCTTTTTTTAAAGTGTGGTTCCATATTAAAGCAAGGGCTGGTGCCTTTAAAAGAAAAGAAAAGTAAATGGATGGATGAATGGAGAAAAGCTGACAGTTACCAGGAACAAAACATGCTTCCCTGAAACACTGATCTTGGATTGCTGTGTTCTTTGTTCTTTGTTGTGTTCAATGCAAGTAGGTCCCAATCATAAGCTCTGTCCCTCCCCCTTAAGAACATACCTGCCCCAGAGAAACTCGGTGCCCTGGGTGCCAGCTGTTCCCACTGCTGTCCCACCCCAATGGAGGGGTTTGGTGGCTGAGGTGCAGCAGATCAGGTCTGCTGCAGATCAGATTTGCTACTAAATCAGGTAATGGTTTAGTATAAGTTGTTTAGAAGTTTAGCATTGATGTATGGGACACCAAAACTGGTTTGGTAGCCTGTCACTATTCTGTAGAGCATTTTTTTGAATCTGCCCAGACGCTACTGCATGAAGATAGAACATGTTGGTTATTGTTAGATCATGGGGATACCAATCATGTGCATACACTAGAGCAGTCTCAGTGGATCGAGTCTGGAAGGCTTGGCCTTGCTTTTACCCTTGCAAAACTTGCTTTCAGTCCTTGACAGATCAGTGTTCAGCCAGTGGCCGTGCACAAATCCTGTTACTTGAAAGAGGAAGGAATTTTTCTTTCTAGCATTTTTAACATGCACTTGCACCCGTTATTATCAATCTGCATAAGTGTATAAGGCAGGGTATATTCATCACACTTTCGATTTCTCATGCTGGAGAAAGCATGCTCCATCAACTAACTTCACCTCATGCACCTGCTTTCCTTGTCCTTGATTTTCTTTAATCACAGTCTAGAGATAAATGCTGCTTTGTGTCCTGCAGGTAGCTATATATGATAATAGTCTTTGCTGTGGTGATCTCAAGTGACCCTCCACCTTGACCCAGCTGTGGTTAAAGATTCTGCCAGTAGTTCTCTATTGTAGGTAACTTCATTCTCTTGCAGAAGGCTGCATATCAGCCACAGCAGCATCTGCTGATCCTGCAGACTCTGTCCCTAGAAGATATACTGCAGGAGGTCTTGTCGTTCGATCCTGGTACCTGTGAGCAAGATACCAAATGCAAGTGCCCACCTCAGCAGCAGTGTAGTGTCCATTTTCTAGTAGAGTTCCAGCTCAGTCAAAAAGATCTAGCGCCTCTCCCGAGCCCAGGCCATTAGCTTTTCCTGCTAGTGCTCATAACACTTGCTTTTGGCTTCTGATGAGGATGCTAGACTAGATGAACTGGCGCTGAGAACATCTGTGCCACCTTCATTCCTGCTATGAGTCAGCACTTGGAAACAAAGTACTTTGTCTTCTATTGAGCTTCATTCATCAGTTTTGAATGATAACACTGTGATTTGCACAACTTCCAAACATCTTGGATGCCATGTGTTGTTGGACTGCGGGGGCTGCTGAAGAGATACGTCCCATTTGGCCGTTCATAATCTGTACTGAATGTCCTATATTGTTGTTTGGTTTGTTTACATTTTCTCTCTGGATGATGGGAATGGGGAGCATCTCAATCCCAAATGCTGCCATATCCAGTCCTAAAATAGTCGTATTTCATTCCTGAGCATTTGCTATGAAGGCATTACTAATTAGCTGGCAAGATGAGAAAAACAGGATTATTTGAGTCAACTGTATTCCTTTAATGTGCTTTTTAATATAGTATAACGGATGGCCTCCAAATAGTGTGGGGTGTTAACTGGTGGGTGGTAGAGCAAACCTGGCATAAGAAAAGCTTGGTAGATGGGAGGTTGCAGCCCTTGACATGCAATGCTTTGATCTCTTTTTTGAGTGTGGGAAAACAACCACAGTAATGTAGACTGTCCAGTAAAAGTCAACGTATGAGACAGGCCAAGGAGAGGACTGTGGCATGGTTCCATTAGAGGTCACAACAACCTACTGCTGTTTCAGGGAAATAGCATTCCTGTTGGAGAGGGAGCCTGCTGCCAATGCGTCAAAAGAAATTCTTCAGATGAAGGAAAATTAAACAAAACCACTATTTTGTTAGCAAAGTAAATTGCTTGTACCCTACATATTGCCTCCTTCCTTACTCCACTCCCAAATATGATCCGAAAGCAATTGCAGTTCCCAGCTTAATAATGGTTGGCAGGGGCTGTCAGCAATGCCATGTCAAAAACTTCCCCAAATCTGAAAGTAATTGTCAGAATTGTCTATTTATCACCTTTGTCTGCCTTGTGTGTCTCACCAGCTTGTTGTCAGGTTCAAAGCTGTTTGGCACATGGGCTGCCTCGAGCCTATGTGTTTGTTCCACACCCTCGTCCTGTAGTTTCTACGGAAGGATATAGTAAATAAGACCAGAACCCTTTATTTGAAAGGGACTCCCCTAACTGTGCTGATTGCAGTAGGCAGTGTCTATCAGGAAAACGATTTAATTTCACTGTAAACAATCCCTTGATACCAGTCTTCCTTATGTTCCTGTGTCATTTTTAATCTTTCGTAAAGCAATGAGACTTTACCTATTCCTTTTGACTGGTTGTTTCGTAAGAACTTTTGAACTAGTTGACCAATATATTTAAGGGAAGGATATGATCAATATTTTCAATCTCATAAGGAAAGTGGAAGGGAACTAATTGTTCCTTTGTTCTTATGTTTCTCCTAGTTAAGGTCACAGTTAAAGTCAGGATTTGGAGACAGATAGACTTTTTGTCAGACCCAGTGCAGCCATTCTGAAGTTACTGCTTCATTGTAAATCAAGACTAGCCAAAGCATTGCTGCTTCTTGGCCCTGGATGGGCCATGGTAAAGGAGTTTGGACCTTTTTGGGAGAGAGAGTGGAAAAAATTGGGGACAAAGGACAAATCAAGGAAGCAGACTCAAAAATTTTCATAGCCTATAGCATTATTTGTGTGTAATCGTTGTGCTTCTACAATTTAATACATTTAATTTGTGTGTGTGTGTCTACGCTTGCATAATTTATACCATCTGGTTGCTGCAGCATTCATGGGGTATCAGTGTAGGTTGTGGTTCCACTGGCATTTCTTTAAGCAACTATGGTGGTTTAATTGTATTCTAGCATCAAGAAAGGCAGACTGAGGAACTGAATCTAAACTAAAAGTAACCCAGGAAAATAGAAAGTATCAGTTTTAACCTGGTTCTGTTCCTGCATCCAGTTCACCACTCAGCTGCATAAAAGCTTCTCTGAAAGCAAGCATTGACAGTGATACTGGCTTTTTCATATCTGAAGTGTTTGTGAAACCGCACAAGTTTCAAGGAAGTGGGTATGAAACCACTGCCTTAAGCTGTATTGGTTTTGTTCCCTGTCACTCTCTCCGTACAAGACATTTGCACAGTGCAGCAGAATTCGGCACATTACTTGTCTTTGCAGCCAGTGTATGAAGGTTGTAGTCCAGAGTAAATAAGAATATGCAAGTTAAAGCATTTATTCCTAATGTGAACTCTATTTCAGTTCTTTCAAGTAACTGTTTCAGATGCTTTACATCACTTTGTTATTAATTTCCATTGGAGGTGAGGACTTGTTCCTAATGTCTTGTTCCTTTCTCCCCAGATAATCTGATCAAAGCCATCCTGTCAGCAACCAAAGATTACCGTCTAACTCCAGCTCTTGACAGGTAAGAGGAGACCTTTTAGAATAGAAGGAGTAGAAGTGATTCTTTTCCACATGTCCTAAATGAATTTTGCTAGATATTTTTGCCAGAAATTATTGCCAATAAATTTGGCTGTGCTTTGGAGGTAGATCAGGAGCTGGAAACTGAGTCCTATTTCCAGTAAATCTGCAAACTCTGGAGACCTCCAAGTCAAACATGATTAAAAAAAAAAAGCATTTACCTTTTGACTATTTCCTAATCTTTTGTTTCATACGGTGTCACAATACACCCTCTTGCCTCTTTTTCAGCCTTTCTGACAAAGCAACAGGATCACAAGAAAACTCTTAGAGTGAAAGAAGGGACTGGGTTGTTTTAACAAGGTTTCACTGATACCCTGCTCTTAAGGCAGGAACCTGTGCTTGTGGTGGCCAAGGCTGTGCCAGGATGTGACAGCAGTCTCCTGGGTCCTGTGGTGTTTGAACTGATGCCTTTAGAAGAAGCTCCTTTTGATTCTTCAGTCCTATTGTAGAGATTGCTTCCGAAACTCACAGGCATGTTTATGATCGGCTTCCCAATGATAGTTCTTTGGTCTTTCCTATCCTTTTCTGTCATTTCTTCCCTTTGCCCTGCAGTTTTGGTTTATTGCCAGTTACTTTAGAGGTATTTTCTTTCAGAAGCTGTCAGAGGTTTTTACTGGGATGTGATCTCTTCTCAAAGTTCTGATGCTATTCCTTTCCAAGCAGTGGTGTTTCATTGAACCCAAACTAACAGCACAGTTCTTGCTTACTAAACATATTTGTTTTTTTTCCTAGCCGGGCTTCTCTCGTGCCCACTTTTCCATGACAAAGTTCATAAGCTTTTCCCGCCTTTCCTCCACGTCTCTCACATTGATCGAGGATCTTGCCTGCTGTAGTTAGCATTGGGAGTTACTCTCTATTTGAAAGTTTATTCTTAGGGGTTTTTTTGCAGTCTATGTGCTAATTTGAGTTGCTTTGAAGTTTGCCTTGCCTCACAGCAATGCCAGATAGGGTTAGTCTTCAGAGTTTGGATTAATTTGAGAAATGATGTCCAGAAGGCAAAATCATTATACAAATGACCTTCTTAAAGATTTTGCACACAACTTGGTCTCACCCATCTGGGGTTTATCTCAGCTCTGATTGGAGAATGAAGATTTTAATCTGTTGAAAAATCCACATATAGGCTCTTTCAGAAGGTTGCTCATGGGAAATTAGTGTTAATGACATAAGGGCAGGTAGAAGATTCTTGCAGGTAAGGTTAATGTAATTGTGGCTGTTGCTGCTCACCTGTTTTTTGAGGAGTGAAATGTGGTTTGGTTTTTTAAAAAGTAATTTCTTAGGAGATTGTGAAACATAGCCACTCTAGCATGTGCTGCTCACTTTGATTTTGCATTCTTCCTAATGGCTTTGGTGTAGAGATAGGAAAGACCTGACACTGAGGCCTTCGCGAAATGTATGCGAAGTCCCTGCAGTATCAAGTGTGAATGAGGCCTAAGGAGTAAGCTAGAAATTAATTTCTATAGTATTGCAGTAGCAAGGTTTGGTGGTGTGTATGCTTGTAAACACAGGGGTATCTTGGGGAAATACTGTTTTCCTGGGAGTTTTTGTGGTAAATGCAAAGCAATGGATGTTGGCTGTGTGGTATATATGCCTCACAGTCAAATGCCTCCCATAGCCTTTCCAAGTGAGCAGGTCTTGGACAGAAAAGATGAAAATTGAAGCTGGTGTGGGAGAAAGGGAGAAGAAAGGCTTGGGGTAACATGTCACAAAGTGAGAGCCTAAAGCAGTAGATGGATGGAGCTGCAACAGAAGGGTTATTACTAGAGAGAGCTGAGTACTACAGGAGGTGTTAAGGCTACCTCAGTGCTGCTCTTGGTGAGCAGGGCATAGATGAGGACTGGGTATGCTTCCCAAAATGTTCTTCAGCTGTGATTGTCAATGAATTACAGTGCTGGCAGCAATGTGTATCTGCCATTTTGGATTCCAGAAGAGCTGATGGAAGGTTAGCTACTTTCTCATCTTGTCTCAGGCTCAAAGTGGAGGCCAGCAGTTCCTGTCTGGCAGCTCCAGTGTGCTGGCAGCAGGACCTTGAGGTTCGGCTCACTTCCTTACTGGTCAAGGAGAAAGTCCAGGCTTTCCCCCTTTGCTCACCACCTTGGACCAGCTTGGAGCTTGGAGAGAGTGTGACTTAATGGCTGAACAAAGGCCTGTATTGTGAAAGAGTTAGGTAAGAGGCACAGCTAAAATCTGTGAGGTACAAGGGGCCAGACTAGGAGATGGGAACCCTTCCACTTGTAGGCTCTCTGAAGTCTAGTAGACTGACTCCAGCAGTAAGGAAAAAGCTCCCTCTCCTTGTACTGCTGTTATTTGAAGAGGGTCTTTAAAGTGGGTCGCTGAAACAATTCCAGTTTAAAGGTTTTTTTTTTCTCTTAACCCAGGTGGTTCCGGTGACCTCATTGACAGAGCTCTCCTCCCACAGAAGAGCTGGGTTGGCACAGGGCTGCAATGGCAGGACGAGAGGCAGAGAGGGCTGGGGATGGGTGGGGAGGCTGAGCGCTGCCGAGGCTATTGAAGCAAGTGTTCATGTAACCACACGCTGAACGCAGCTTTCCCAGGGGAAGGGTGGGAGAGGCAGGAGAGGTGAGGTCAGAGCAGTGCGTGAGAGCATAGGAAGGAAAGAGGGGATTAAAGTTGTATGGTGGGGGATCTACACCAACCCTTTGGTCTTGTCCCCACCCAAACTTCTCCATTTCTGTCGTCCTTCACAAAGCTGTCCCTTGAGACGTTACCTTCACTCACCTCCCACAAGCCCTGGAAGTAAACTTGTTTGTTTGATTATCCCTGTGCCAAAAGGGCATCCTGATGCACCTTTTCTAACACAATGTACCGACATGGTGCTGAAATGAGGCAAACTCGATCCTTCCGGGTACGCGTACACCTTTCATCATCCCAAAGCAGCTTTGCCAACTCACTCCAACTAATCCCTCCATTGTGAGGAGAGTTGTGTTAATAACTAGCAGCAGCTGGAGGGCATGTGAACAAATGCGATAGTTCACGCCTGTAACATGGTGTAAGTGATGTCGTGCTTTCTGAATTTTCTTCATGACTCTTTATTACAGCACCTTTGTGTTGAACTGCTTATAGTAACCTGCTTCTGCCCCAGGGCAGGAGGGAGGTAAAGCTGCCATTGTGTTTGTGAGGGTAGTTGCAACTCAGCTCTAAGCTTTTCTGGAGAAGATTGGAGATTCAGGGGACTTCAGAATTAGTGATCTCTTCCTTCAGTGCTGCCATATCTTTCTGCCTAACGCAGGTGTTGGTGGGCCTTGTCTTTGATACTTCAGAGTTCTCTTGCCCTCTGTTGGCTTTTCCAGGCCTGGCATCCCTGATATTTTCACTGCTTGTTTTAGTGGCTCCTCCAGTGGTCTGCAAATTGACTGGGGCTTGGTTTCTGGTTCCATGGCGCTTCTGCTGGCTGCACTTCAGTGGATTTTGGGGTTAAATCTCTGTGGTGATGACCTATAAATTTCCTATGAAAAAACATAAATATAAAAGCCTGACTGACCCTTTTGTATTGCCTCCAGGTGATAAAAAGGAAAACTGAGAGTGACTGTATAACGAAGAGGAGTCTTTACTAACACAGTATATAACTAACAAGTGAGGAAGGAGCTTGATAGAGTCGGAGAAGAGATGTGTGTGTCCTTCTGGCCCAGGCTGATAGCACCAGTTCAAGTAGCAGCAGCCAGATCAAACCAGAATATGCTAAACCTCCCTAAGCATCAGTTACCCTAAAGATGTGGTTTTTTAATCATTCTGTTATATCTTTCCTCAAAGCCTTTAGTTCCAAAGTTGCGTAAAGGAAGGCTTTGTGGTTTTTCTCCCCTGACAAATCTCTAAAGTGCTTTGATAAGAGAGAAAGAGGAAGCAGCAATTGCTACAATGCATACATGTGTTTACAGTGCTATATTGTTCAAAAAAATCTGTGTGAATCCTGGTTTTGGTGTAGATGAACTCAGCCTCTGAGCATCTGTGTCAGAGGCTCCACATCTGGCCCCAGCTCCCAGCTTAGGGCTTTAGGGAAAGTCTTTCTGGTGTGAAAAGTCCATGACCCTCCTTCATACCACCCGGGTAGCAAAACCTGGGCTGTGTCCGATGTGTTCAGTCCCTGAGCTCTTCTGGAAAAGAAATACAGCTTTGACATGCTATGTAAACAAACAAAAAGGTGTTTGCACACCTCTTTGTGGAGAAACAATTGGGCTGTAACTGATGCTGCCTGCACGGTGTGTTTCTTCAGACAGAAACTTGCCTGGAGCCAGCAATGACTTTGCAGGTTTTCCATGCTCAGGCACCGTCAGTCAGTGCAGGCTCTGAAGGAGCCCAGCTACGCTGGTGCCAGCTGTCCAAATTCCTGGTCAAGATGTGAGATCAGGTGCCTGGTGTCCCTGCTGAATGCTTCCCTTTCACAGTGCCATCAGGGTGGCCCTGCAATCTTCTCACTGTCCTACAGTGTGACTGCCAAAGCTGGTGAGACCAGGCTAGCTCACCTTTCTGCCTGACTTGGTCAAAACAGTCTTGAGCTGCCCAGACTTGATGTACACACCTGATGTGCAGAACCCAGGCAAAGTCCAAGACTCACCATACCTTCATCATGTGCACCTGAAGAAAGCAACCTGCACCTGAGTGTGCAACAGAACCTTCCAGCTTTGCAATTACTTTTGAAGGAAATTTAAGGAAAAGCTGCTAGAAGGTCAAAGATTAGACCTTAGCATCTAAAAGATAGTAATGAAAAATCTGGTCTGCAGAATTAAAAGGGGGACACATTTAAATATGTCAAGACCACCAGGGTACGAGAGCATTCAGACATGAAGCTGGGTAAAAATGATAACCTGTCAATTAAGATGAGTAAAGGCAGAACCATTCAGTGTACTATTTGTTTAGTTTATTTGGGTAAAGGTAAAATGATGTTGCCCCATTTTACAGCAATGAAATAATTTCTGTATTTTTATTAGTAACTGTGAAGATGTTAAATGACAATTATGTGACTTTTTAAACCAGTAAGCACTGATGAATATTTAAAGAGTTAAATCAAGAGTTGTTTTTGTTATTACTGTTTGATTTTTAATCCTTCTTGGAATGTTGGGTGGAACAGCAAGTGTTGTGCCATTCCCGGAGAGGTATGGGAGATGACAAAGAGGTGGCTGTAAGTTGATTAGTTTAGTTTTGCAGGGAAAATCCCAGAAAGTTAGATCTGGAACACAGCTAGGATGGCAGCATAATTGATGTCAGTTATCTTGGATTTTGTGGAAATTAAATCTTGTCGTGCAGATGAAGGTGGGTTTTTTTTAGATGAACTAGAAGCTTGATTGATAAAGGTAACACTTTTAAGATAGGCATTAGTTATTTGTATCAGTCCATTATATTCTGATTCTACATGGCACTGTTGTAGACTTACCCTTTTTAGGAATGGGTTATATCACACAGCTTTAAAAAGTTACTGTCGGGGTTGAGAATTAATCCTTTAGTGACACTTTTAGTGTAATCCTGCTGGCAGGTGTTCACAGTGGTTAAGACCAATCTGGATGAAATGTAAAATTACACTGGGAAAATTCGCCGGAGTCAAAGACTGGGGAAGCGTGGAGTCGAAGGACTGGGTCGGTCTAGACTTTTTCATAGGGCTCCTATTCTGAGCAATCCTTTACTGGAGCCAAACCAAGAGTCAGGCATCTCAGAGGGGACAACAAATCATGCTTACAGGATGAGGATTAGATTCTGCAAACCAATGACTATAAAAAGAGCATTGGAATGATATACATAAAATCTCTGTGTAAAAGGGACACTGCTTTGAGCAGCATTAGCTCCGCATGCTGGCCTTCCAGAGTCAGTGCTTTGGAGGTTTGGGGAGAAGTTGAAAATCCTTCAGAGGTACTGCAAATGTGACTCAGGATCTAGGAGAGCTGCCATACCATAAGAAATGTGATGAGCTCGCTCCAGTTTGTATGGTCAAGGGAAAATTAAGAATGGGCTTTGATCAGTCTACAAGTACTGTGTGGGAACAGGGCCATGAAGAGACACTGCTGGAACAGCTTTGGCTGGTGGAACTGGTTCTTTTATCTCCTGCAGCGGCTCATGCTCACCAGGCCGACCCGTGACTGATTATCCACCTAGAGGCAGATGTTTACATACAGTGGTTTGTCAGTAAGTGGATCACATGCAGATGTGGAAGGGACTGCTGACAGTAGATGGTGCTTTAATTTAGCAGAAAAGGGAAGAATGCGATTGAGTGGTTTTGAGGCTGAAACAAACACATCTGTATTCAAAATTGGTGAGAGCTAGTGTCCTAGTGGTAAGTGAGAAAGGGATGGAGAAGGGTATCTATAACTTGTAGCTTTTCAACTTCTGCATGGTATTCCTCAAAAAATAACAATATAAAAAGTTATGGCTAGGAGTCAATTAGGTAGAGAAATTACAGTATTTCACCTGACAGTCTGTTGTTTAGGAGGTCAAACTTTCATGTCATCATCATCAAAAGAGTATATTTTCATCTGAAACTTCTGACCAGAACCGAACTTTTTTTTTTTTCCCCCCTCCTGCACCACTTTTTCCATAAAGGTTTTGACAAAGCTGTTACCATCTTTGTCACTGTGTTGGGTGTATTCGGGGCTGACTCTTTCTCTTCCTTCCTTGCCACAATATACTGCCTGAACCAGGTCTTGCCTCTGCTCTCTCCTTGTCACCAGAACTGTGTGTGTTTTCTGTGCCATTGTCTACAAAGCACTTTCTCTTTTGCCTGATTTGATTACCGCAAGCATCCAAGCTTCTTCAGCCCTTAGGGATGCAAGCACAGGGCTAATATGTCTGTTTTCCTGAGAAGGATTTTTTTTTTTGGAAGAGCTGGGATCTGCGATGCATCTTATCTGGGCTGGGGAAGCCGTTCCTGAGCGTTTCTTGGTGCTGTTATTTCTGTGTATATCTCTGGCTATTGGCTCTGTCAGCAGGGTAACCCTCAGTGGTTTGGCTGAGTCTTTAAAGTGTGCTCCAGCCCCACTCTGCAAAGACAGACCCCACATAAGAGCCAGTATGAGGAAAGCTCTGCTTTAGTCTGACCACAGTGAGGACAACCTAGAAAGAGACCAGTCGACTGTGCCTGGGACTAGGAAGGCCGCCTAACCCGGAGATCTGCTCCAAACAACTGATTGCCTTGGACCCTTTCCGAAAAAGGCTCTGCAGACACGTATTCCTTCAGTGAACTACCAGAGATGGAGGCACATTGCCAGAAGAGCCAGCTGCGTTTGGGATTAGATGGCTGGAAAGAAGTCTTCTCTCTCTCTTCAAAACGAAATCACTTTTTAACATCTGCTGCAGAGAGTTCTCATGACTTGCGGTTGCACGAGAAACTGTTCTCTTCATTCTCTTTCCTGTTTCTTTGTTAATTAAGGTTATTTTCCTTCCCCTTCCTCACCCATTGTGTCTCCATATATGTTTCCTATTGGACAAGAGGGGTGGGGGATCCTTTTTCTTTCCATTTAGTGTTTTTCTGTCGCTTCAAGCCTTATGATAACTGCAGGAATTTTGCACTCGGCAAGGTGAGCACGCCCCAGATAACCTGGCAAGATCTGCCTGCACTCAGAAAATTGCTTGGAGAGAGGACTTCCTCACTAAGCCTTTGGTTTATTGTTATTTCAGTGCTAAATGAATAATGAGAAGGTTTAAGTAAACAGATGGGTTTGATTCAAGCCCATCATACCAGGGGTGTGGGGGGAGAGGAGCTGCTTGTCCTGACAGCTCATCTCATTAGACCACACGTGGTGTGAGGTGTTGAAAGCAGTTCATCACGTGTAATGCCCGGGCATTATGATGGGGTGAGCTGGGGATCAAGTGTATCTCTATCCTCCCCTTAATTCTTAATGTTCCAAAAGGTTTCCTGTAGTTCTCAGACAGATGCAAACTAAATATGTGCAGTGTGTTTGAAGTTATGTTAAAATTACCTCTTTCCTCTCTTTTTCCACAGTCTCAGCTGCCGGCGATGTATTATTGTGGGAAATGGTGGAGTACTTGCAAATAAATCATTGGGGTTAAAAATCGATGACTATGATGTTGTTGTCAGGTGAGTCTTTGTCATCATACTTTTGTTGTCATATGTTCAGTTTCTGTATCAGTTCACATGCTGTGCTGACAAAGGTTAAACCTACACTAGTCACAGTATATATTAGTATGGCGGTATTAACTAATATGGAGGGGAAAAAACAAAGAGCATAAAAGTGTTTGTTATAAATGATGATCATATCAAAGGGTAAAGACACTCCTCAAACATTCAGTTTTCCACAGCTGTTTGGGAACGTGCTGTTTCCTATGATCCCACTCGAACCTTCTCTTGATAGCACCTTTCTAAAAGCTTTTGTGATGCCCTTGGGTGGTGAAGCAGTAAAACCTCCTGTTAGACCTGCTCCCAGATACATGCCCTGGGTAGCTCAGGGAAGTATTATTGGTCATAACACTTCACAGGATGGGAGGAACTAAGAACAGTGCAGCAAAGGGTCTTAGGAAGCAGTAAGTGTCCATGAAGGAGGATGCACCTGTAGGTGCACCCTAGGAGTTGTGAATACTTTGTCTCACTGTGGATGATGATGTTGAATAAGGGAGCAGAAGCAGAGTGGCGCAGGAGTGGAAACAACCACAGTCAAAGTTAGGACTTCTTGCTTTTGCTCAGGACCTGGATCATCGCCATCTCAGAATGCCTGAAAAACGTGCTGATATGTGAAATCACAGGTCTAGTCATAACTCTTAGTAATAAATCTGTCAAGTCAGGGAGGTGTTCTGGGTGATTGGAGATTAACAAACATAATACCTGTACTAATGGAGAGTGAGAGAGTGTGTGTGTGTAGGAGAGAGGGGGGGACATGCTCTAGGGAGCTACAGACTCATTAGTCTGACTTGAAAAAAATGCAGAGCTTTATAGCAGGTTCTGAACCATGAGTAACAAAATATTGTGGTGATAAATAGGAAAAGTGGGATAAACTGCAGTGTAAGTTTATAGAAACTGGTTTAACGCAGTCTGATCTGCTGTGGTTTCTTTCCTTAGTAAGATAACTGATTTCATATTAAAGGGAATGTAACTGATGTCATCTCTCAGAACTTTAGTCAACCATGAGACATGGTAGCAAATAGCAAATTCTTAGCTAAGGTGGAAGAAAGAAAAGGATTAGTAAAAGAATTTCAGGCATAGGGAAGATACCGGTTAGCATGGTCTCCTCTCTCTCCTGTGCACTAGTAATGGGCACACAAGGAAAGAATAGAATATACATAGAGTAATAAATACCCCCTGACTCTGGACAAAAAGTCCAAGAAAAGATCCCTTTCAGTCCTTTGTTCCTGTGAACGGTTCCCTGCTTCCCCGACAGTGCTCTGGACACACAGGGATGACTGTTCAGAACAGGATGAAACTTCTACAGCCCTTCTCCTAGTTCATCCCGCTATCGGTTGCTAGCAAAGAGCTCTTACTGCTCGTCATAGTCTGGTGACTTGCAGTTATTTGAGCTGAATTAAAGTTCAGTTATAGCCTCTTCATAGGTTCAGGCTGTTCAAAAAGTAGCAAGAGAACAGTTTCAATCCATCTGGACTAAGCCACCCACTAAGATTTACATCAGAGAGTCTACTATTTAATTTCCAAATGAAAAGTTCAACCTTTTCTCTCCACATCAGTAAATCTAAGTCAGTTTGCAAGCTGAGAGGATAAGAGGGCAGCTAAGCACCTGTGCTGTTTGTGGGACGGATAAAGGAGAGAAACGTCAACTGTAAAGGTTAAATGAAGCCAGGCGCTTGGATGTGGGAGTGAGGAGGTGAGACCAGGCCGCTTAAATGTATCCAACTGCTTCCTTTGCTCCTGGGGAAGTCCCTTGTGTATGGCATCCTTTTTCAAGAGTTGCAAAGCTCCTCTGAAGGATCAGATTTAGGGCCTAGGAGGGAAAAAATGTGGTACATTTGTGAACAAAGGAGGCATCCAGCAGTATGGGGAGTTTTTTGATGCATGGCGTGTTACCATGTGAGGATTGCTAATTGCAGCAAGAAATTTTGATCTTGTGGTGAAGAGAGTCAGATCAGCTTTGACAGCTTGGAGTTAGTTACTGGGATTTTTTTTTCTAACTGGATATTATCAGATTTCAGTGCAGACGTTATTCCCAGCTGTCACACTGTTTACCTGGCAGGAGCTCCTTGCAGCAGTCAGTCATGAGTGCTCTGAAATGCCTCCTTAGAAGAGATTGCAGACAGGGGAAAAACAAGTATGTTTCAGAAATGCCTGGTTAGAATGAGCTGGGGATTCACCTGATGATGATACTTTAGTGATATTTGGGAGGGTCTTCACGGTGCTTAGGTTAGGAGTTAGTGTCTCTAAGCTCACTGTGGCGTCAGTAGATACAGAGAGAGAAAAACATTCTGAAACTTCTTGCGGAGAACATTGCCCGTCTATGAGCAGTATGAGGAGGCCTGGCATCCTCATTAAGGTTTTCTAGGATTTAGCTGTGTTTATTACCACCAGCCTGTCCTGCCTGAGAAAAGGCTCAAGCTGTGGAGCGTGCACCTTCACGAGCACAGGTTGTGGCTGCCAGAACTTTTCCTGCTCCATCGCCTGCGCTGCCCCTGGGGCACTGACCCCGGGGCTGACAGTGCTGGCTCCTTAGCGCGACTCCATCGCTATGACTCCGTCAGCAGCTCACATTCTTGGCCCTTTGCTGGAGACCCGAGCTCGTTTTACTCGGGAAAATGGTTTGTTTTGTTTCCTGTCTAGGTGCAAAGTAGGGGTCCCAAGTTTGGGGGGCTTTGACAAGGGAAGCAGCAAAACAGCAAACCCGGCAGCTGGGCGGGGGGAAAACCCTGCCTCTCTACTTCAAGAAGACTGATGAAAATAAGTATAACTATCTTTCTTTACATAGTTCTTCATTGTACTTATCTCTGTTACCTTTAAGGCCAGGTGCTATTTATGTAGGCTCATCCGCCACAAAGAGACGCAACACCTTGAAGTTTAAATAGCGTCCATAGGAAAAGTGAGGTGTGAACACACAGGCAGCAACAGAGGAAAAAGCAAGGCATCAGGCTGGCTGGAAGCACTGGTTTTATAGCCAGTCAGGTCTAGATACCATAAGGGCTTATAAACCACAAAAAAAGGCTTCATTTCCTGTATAAATTGTGATGTTGCCGATTCTTAAATTGCTTTCCCTTTATTATTTTATTCCTAATGATAAAGTAAGTATTTTTACTAAAAATACATAGGAATTTGTTCTTCTTAGTTCTAAATAGAATTTCGGATTGTATACAGGGATTTTCTTCTGCTAAAAGGTTTCCCACCTAAAATGCTTACCCGGGCTGAAAAAGACAAATCCAGATCCTCATTAACATTCCTACAAGGCAAAATTTGCAGTCCATAAGCACTTTCCAGTATATTGAACTACCCCAAGTCAAGAAGGCTGCAATAATTCAAGCAGGCAAAGCTGTTCCATCAGGGAGTGCTGTTTGATGTCAGCAAGATTTCTATTCCAAGTTACTTGAAATTTCCTCAGCTTTGGGTTTCTAGTTTTGAATAGAAGTTCTGAATAACTTTAATGTCATGAAAGTCATCGTTGCTGTTGACGCCAGAGCAGTTTGTTTTTTGAAGGGAAAAAACTTTGTCCCCGAGGGGTGTTTTAAACAAAAGCACAGCTAAACACATAGCATTCCCTTGGAAATCAGTGTGCCCAGGAGCAAAGCTGTGTGTCTGCTTGGGTGTTTTCAGAGTGAGATGCGCTTCCACAGCAGAAACTCCTCTGAGTCAGTGAGACCGCAGTGATGCTGAGCCTTACCCCAGCTGCTTCCTTTGCCTTGGCATTGCAGGGCAGCTCACCTTCTTGATGGGCCAAGTTTGGGGAATTCAAACCAGATGGAGATTGTTCATTTGTTTTTTCTTGAAAATTATTAGCTGGTTTAGTTCCCTAAACAATCTGACTGCAGGTAGGATAAGCAGTGTAAGCTCTGGACTGGGGTAGGAGCATGAGACTAGTTTCAGTCCGCTTAAACTGCCATCCTCTATTTCAGCCCAGCCTTCTAGAATCCGAGTAAGATATCCCAGGAGTGATAGGGTGTTAAAATATTAATGCTTAGTTTGTAATTCTAAATTTGCAAGGGCAAGATTTTTCAGTTTCTTTTTCCAAAGCTTCCAACCCAATTTAAATCACAAGAGTGGATATGCAAAAATGGTTTGCATTATATTTAGTGAAATTATTTATGTAGCTTCTATTTAAACCGTTGCTGCTTGGCATAAAGCTTCATTAATGTGTGTGATGAAGAACAGCAATAGTTAATGTTTGCTGCTGTAGCAGCTTCGTAGAGGGAGCTCTGGCCTGGCAGTGATTGCTGTATCATCAACATGCATGAGTGTAAGTGGGAATCCATGACAGTGTCTTCTCTGGTTGCCCTGCAGGCTGAACTCCGCTCCAGTGAAGGGCTTTGAAAAAGATGTGGGTGGCAAGACAACTCTCCGGATCACATATCCTGAAGGTGCAATCCAGAAAATGGAGCAGTATGAGAAGGATTCCCTGTTTGTTCTGGCAGGATTCAAATGGCAGGATTTCAAGTGGCTGAAATACATTGTTTACAAGGAGAAAGTGGTAAGAACGCTGTCAGCTGGCATTGTGAAGTTCACCTAATTAGTGGGCAGACGTGATATCACAGTCATATTTGCCACGTTTTGGTCTGAAGAGAGTTCCTCTGTGTGTCCAGCTGCAGTGAAGGCTTTTTTACCTCTTTGGACTTCAGCTTTAATTAACTATACTTTACAAAGACATCTCTGTAACCTGACCTTGCATCACAGATGAGGCTTTCGAGTCAAGATTACGTTAGTGTGTGCTATGAACAATGAATTTGATTTTTATTTATTTTTAAGAGTATATAAAAACGGACCAACTTTTGCATGGGATTTTTGGACTCTTAGGATTTAAGAGCAGGAAAAGAGCAATGGCAAGGAGAGGAAATGGGAGTTTGGGGATAAGGATGTGATGGCACAGGAGAGGAGGAGGATGCAGCAGCAATCCACAGACTTAATATAACCTCTTGAATAGCATAAGCCATTATATTTTGCTCTCTTACTGCTGTACTGAGATTCATTATTTGTGTTTGGCTAAAGTATCATCCACAAGAACAATATCAAGTCTAATTTAAAGCCACTGAAATGGTGAATCTACTGCTTTCCCCATGTAAATATTTTGTCCCAGTCAGTTGCATTAATGCCCTTAGTCCGGGGTGTTCTCTGTAATTCACCCATCCTAAATGGAATCAGGTTGTGGTCATTGACTTCTCATTCAGTGGGTGGCTCATCTTTATCTGTTGTCATGAAGTCTGCAATAAATGGCCTGTATTTGGATGTAGTTCTTGTTTTAAAAATCTTGTATCTTGGTTTTCAAATATTCTTTAATGATTATTCAACAAATAACCAGACAAACGGATTATTGTTCAGAGGATGGGATGTTATATCATGTGTTTGGAGATGAAGAGAGGAGGTTGGCAGCTCACCGTATACAGGATGAAACAGTCTGGAATTATAATTGCACATGGTTGTTACATAGATGGCCTTAAGGGCTCATACCTTGCTCTTGTCTCACACTGGCACCAACTTGCAATTATTTTCCGGGTACCAGACAGATGAAGTTACTTGTCAGCCTCTGGGCAAGCGCAAGTGGGCTTTCGTAACATGAATAATTGAGTCAAAAGTAATTTTCTTTGGTTTGTGTCACACTCTTGTTCTACATTCTGAGTAAGGGAAAGCCCTGGCAGTGTCAGTGCCTGCAACCTGAATGCAGTTGTAGGGACTCCTAGTGTTTAGCTTGAAATTCAAAGGATGGATTGGTTCGCTTCAAAACAAATTGAATTTCCACCTGATGTTTGCAGTCATGTGGTCATCACTAGGTTCTAATGTGGTGTCCCCTGCTCCTGCAAAGATGCAGCAAATAATTTGTTAAAAATTGATAGAAGATTGGGAGAGTGATTGCAGCAATCTTAACTGAGTGCTTTGGTGCCCAGCTTGGCAGAGAGCAGAAAGAACTTCAGCTTCTGGAGTTGCATGTTACTTCAGTGCTTTTGTGGTTGGCTCCTTATCCTTCATTTCTTTGGAATAAACACTCCATTTTTATTTTTTTTCAGTTCTAGTAGGTGATGTTTTCCAGATATCTTAATTCCTGTTGCTCTTTTGAGTGCCTGTAGTTGATTCATCTTTTTCTTAAAGAGCAGTGCCCAAAAGTGTAGAGTACAGCAAATAGAGAGGAGCAAACAGCTACTTCACTGGCCTCCCACTTCTTGTTCTTTATACATCCACTGCTTTGCCTTTTCCACAATGGCATGGGACTGAAGGCAAGTGTCCAGTTCCTTGAGACTCCAGGTCTCAGGAAGAGCTGAAGAGCAGCTGCTCCCCAGCTCCGCACCCTGTGTGTGTACCGTTCGCTCTTCCTACCAAAGAGCAGCACCGTGCACTGGTCCCTACTGATTCTTTCTTCCAGAGCATTTCTCTAATTTTGCCAAGTTCCTTTGGCAGAGCTCTCCAGCATACCTGCCATTCTTTCCAGATTCGTGTCCTCTGCAATTTAGTAAACATACTTTTTACTCCATCATCCAGGTCGACAATGAAAATACTAAACAAAGTTGGTTCCTAGGCAGACCCCAAAGTAATAACATCCTTCCATTTTTAAAGTGAGCCCACTGAGAACTCCTCCTGGATAGGTTATTGGCCAGTTGTCAACTTGTATCACAGTACTATCATTAATAACATTTTTTGGCATGTTTGTGAAAGTGGTATGTCAGAAGCCTTGCTGAATTCCGGTTGATGTCTTGCTTCTCCCCTATGATACTTTTTTTTTCCTGCATAAAGAAATCCAAATCTTTTTCAGTAGTGATTTGCTCTTGACAAATCCACCTGGGTTGCTACTAGGCTTTGTTATTTTTTTTGGGTGCTTACAAATAAATAATCTTGCTGAGAACTGAAATCATAAATCAACTCTATTCCCATTTTTTGCTGCCTTGAGGCTAGGCACTACTTTTGTCCGTTTTTCAGGCCTTTGACACCCTACCTGTTCTACACAAGTTCCCAAAGGGAATCATTGCTTGTGTTGAGGTTGCTGAGCCAGTTCACTGAATACTTCAGGATGTGTTCCAGGTGACTGGAGAACATCTGTCTTGTCCTCTCTAGACTGATCTCTCTTCATTTGAGGCTGAGGTCTTGCCGTCACTGGCTTTAGCTGCATGCAGGTGGCTAGCACAGCTGCTTTTTCTAGTGGAGACTGATGCAAAAAGTGCTGTCTCTTAGCTAGAAGTGGCCCAATGGAGAACTCACAGTGCTATGGGAATAAGGCGTAGGCGTCTGTTTGTTCTGGTAGTGAGTGTTAGTATTTTTATCAGTGTGTGGTAAGTTCAAAACGACAAATGCCTGCCCATTGCTCTCTGTGGAGAGTTTCTGTTTCTCTCTCAGCTGATTTTTCCAGAGAAAAAGGAGTTTCTTCCTTTCCTGGATTCATCTAGAGGCACTTGCTTGACCTAGGAGCCCAGTATGCCACCTTTGCTTATCCCTTACCTGCGATTAGGCCTGTCCTTGCTGCAAACCAGCGGTTACGGTCAGGAGTCTGACCTCAGGATGGACAGAAGGGAAATAGAAGCACCCAACAGCTGTGGAAGTAGACACATTCCACAAAAAATGGGCCAAACTCTGTCCTCTATTTCCTTTGCCCCTGAACATTGATGGCAACTGTGTGTGTCCAGGGTAGCACCACAGGTGCAGTGTGAGACTTTCTGAATCCCTTCAGACACTGGACCCAGAGCTGCTTGGACCTGTTTCACCCAAGATTCTGGGCCAGGTACTAGGATCCTTACTTAGTCCTCTCTTAGGTAAGTAAAATGAAAGGGAGTTTATCTGAGAGTAAATGAAAGGCAAATGGCTATTTACTGCTGGGGTCAGTGGTCAGATAAGCTTATTCTCCCTGCAGCTGAGAGGGATTTGCTCTCTGATATGTTAGTCTTCTGGCAGCACTTGCAAACTGAGGAAGGGATAAGTACTTTGAAGAGGGGGAATTTTCAGGAGATGTTATAAGGAAAAAGAATCAGTGTGATGCAGAAGCAGCAGCAGAATGGTGAGGCAGAGGATTTGATGTGTTACATACAGTCTGGTGCAACAGCCTTCTGGAGATCTGCATGATGCCTCCATGCCCTAGGAGACTCTATATGCAGAAAGAAGAGCACTTGGAATATGGACCAAAGAAAAAAAAGTAAAAGCTTTTATTTCATGCTAAACCAGAAATATCTAGAAGCAAATAAAAACTTGAGAGATAAAAGGTTAATGTAGAAAAAGGACAAGTTTGGCTAAATATTCATACTGCATTAGCAGCAAAACAAAGGTTGCCTCCATCGCAGAGTTCTGGATGAGCTAACACTCAAAATTGTGAGTCTGGTTGAAATTAGGGCAGTACTGTGTCACTGGAGAGTATAGACCTGCCTATAGGAAGGGGAAAGGTGGATGAATCTGGGCAATTAAAACCCTGGTAATCTGATTTCAGTCATTTGACAAGCATTAGAACAAACTGAAGGAGAAAATAATTGCACTTGTTGCAGGTAAAGGGATGGAAAAGGTGACATGTTCAGCAGAGGGGTGGATTGCACCATGCTGACCTAGTATGGCAGTGGACAAGTGGAAAGGAAGTGGGTTGGAGTCCCCGAGCCTGCAGTCGCGGGAAGCCATGGCTATTGCAGAAGGGTCACAGATGTGAGTCGTTTGTGCGTCTGTGGTGACTGGTCTGGCAGCGCTGACTTGCAGTCATTGCTGCAAGAGCCTGCTGACACTTCCAGGCACCCCTCCTCTGATGAAACGGCTGCTGGTGGTGCCTCCCCAGAGACTGATTACTCATGGACAGCCACTCAGAACACTTACACTCTCTCCTGGACTGTTCTTTTTGCCAAGAGACATTGCCCATACATATTATAATCCGCCCCGCTGCTTCCCGCTCTTGTCCCACCCTGTGTCACCCCGGGGTCTCTCAGGGACAGCGGCTCTTTCTGAATACCCAAAGTACCAGAGGAATTATAGGGGAAGGGAGGTTTGGCCATATACTGCTCTTCTCTATTAAAATAATGGACAAAAGCTGAAGGTTTCTCTATTGTGTAGATGGTAGGTGGTTCCTGAAACAAACAGGGGAATTTACAAGCACTAGTTATGCAAACCAGCCATCGCAGCCTGGCGCTGAGGCTGCTTCCAGGGTGGTTTTTTGCCCGTCATCAGTGAATCAGAAGGAGCTCTTTTGCTTGCTAAGGCTCACTTCCCTGAACATCTGGCACATGGTGGTAACGCAGCCAAGTGAGGGCAAAGGTTTCACTAGAAATTGGCAGCTCACAAGCTTCCTTCTCGTGTGGTAATGAGCCTGCGGACGCTTCCAGCGGGAATCTCTGCAGCCTTTGCCAGGAGGAGTCACTTGAGCAGTAAGTGCCAGCGGCACCTTGAAGGTCTCTTTGATAGTGAAAGTCATAGGAGCGAGTGAGCACCTGCCTGCGAGCGAGGCCAAGTTTGGCTGTCTGTCCCTTGCAGGGACATGCCTCTGACAACTCGCTCGCGGCAGCGATGCCATCTGAAAAGCAACCG